TCCAGGGGAGCAGAGCTGGCACACAGCAGCAACTCTGCTCCTAAGAACACCGCTACAAACGGAACCCGACAGTGAGACAGGAAACATCTTTTCTTCCGAGGAGAGGGTCAAACAGGGCCTCCCTCTAACTCACTGTTAGAGTGTACTTATACTACGAGACACTCAGGCTAGTCTTCAACTTGCAGCAGCCATTATCCTGCCTCAACCTTTCCAGTGCTGGCATTACAGGTGTGAGCTACCACACCCAACCTGGCATATCCTTCACCACATGGATACGATAGAGCAGGACTAGGATTCAGAATAAAATGGATTTCTAACACATGCTATTACACAGGGGTCTTGAAAACATGCTCAACAGTGCAGTCACTAAAGGACAAATATCATGCAACCACTTACACAAAATAGCCACAGCACACAGCGTCAGGAAGCAGGTTAGAGGGCACCAGGGAAGAGCGGGGACTAATAGGATAGAATGTTTCTGTTTGGGTCACATCAAAACTTTGAAAACCCAGTGTGATTAAATTAAAAACACAAGTAATGCCATTAGGCTGTATGGTTACAATGACAAATTAGGGTTGACAAGACAATTCATTAAGTAAAGGCCCTTGCCGGGCGCTGGTAGCACATGCCTTTAATCCCAGCACTCGGGAGGCAGAGCCAGGCGGATCTCTGTGAGTTCGAGGCCAGCCTGGTTTACAGAGTGAGTTCCAGGACAGGCACCAAAGCTACACAGAGAAACCCTGTCTCAGAAACCCTCCCCCCCCAAAAAAAAAGTAAAGGCACTTGCCACCAATATTGCTGACCTGAGTTTATCCCTAGAACCTAACAGGATGGAAGGAAAGAACCAATTTCTAAAAGTTGTATTACGATCTCTATACACATGCTGTGGCACTCACCCTCCCCTACCCCCTCATAAAACAAATGCTTAAAAAAATTTTAAGCTGGTGGGGGTGGCAAAAGCTTTTAATTCCAGTACACAGGCAGAGGTAGGCGGATCTCTGTGAGTTCGAGGCCAGCCTGATCTATAGAGGGAGTTCCAGGACAGGCTCCAAAGCTACACAGAGAAGCCCTGTCTTTTCAAAAAATAAATAAATAAATAAATAAATAAATAAATAAATAAATAAATAAATAAATAACATGAAAAATGCCTTAAAATCTTTGTTATGTATATTTTCAATAAAACATCAATACTGACAAAAATTGAATAGGCAAAATTTTCCTGTGATAAATCAGAATAACAAACATATATAATAATCATTATTAATAACCTTACAATGAGTTACTAATCTAAAAACCATAGAGGACTTCAGAATATCTAGGAATAATATGTCTGGTAAGTAAAGTCAAAGCCTTTCATAAAAGAGGATAAGGCGCCGGGCAGTGGTGGTGCACGCCTTTAATCCCAGCACTCGGGAGGCAGAGCCAGGTGGATCTCTGTGAGTTCGAGGCCAGCCTGGGCTACCAAGTGAGCTCCAGGAAAGGCGCAAAGCTACACAGAGAAACCCTGTCTCGAAAAACCAAAAAAAAAAAAAAAGAGGATAAGGGATCTTTCTTGAATAAAGCTAAAATATTCTTGAAATTAAAATATAGTTTAAGAGAGTGCAGTAGAACACTTGCTACCTTGAAAAGATAACGCTCAGTGAAAGGAACCACACCCAGAGGCCACAGTGACTCCATGTATATGAACGTCCGGAACAGGCAACTCCATAGAGGAACAAGCTAAGTTTAGATGAGAGATCTGCAGGTAGTGGCCACTGCTTCTGTTCAGAGCGATAACGTTCTGAAGTCAGCGGTGAAAGCTGCAAACCTCAAATCCAGCAGGCAGCAACTGAACTAGATGAGGGCCAACTCACGGTAACGAATGACAACTTCATTCGAGTATTTGAGAGGAATGACGAGGTTCCTGCCACAGATAGGCCAACAGCACAGAGCAAAGGAGCCAGAGCAAAGGAGCCAGAACTGACCCGCCTGACCTCTGCTTTAGGACCAAGGTGCCATTAGAGAACAATGAGAGGAAGGGTGACTTGTTCAATGCATGCCCTGGGTTACTGTAGGTCCAAGTGTGGGGACACGTTTGACTTTTACAATAAAGCAAAATCAATTTCAAATGAATTAAGAACCAGGACAGGACATATAATTTAAAAACTCGGGTGAAAGAAAACAGAATAACTTTGTGTCCTGGCTGTGGTTGGAAAATGCCTAAACTAGATCTGAAAAGAACAAAAAGGAAACATCAATCACCTGCTAATTAGAAGAGAGAAATAAAAAACTGAGTGGAAAGTCAAGTCAAGACAGCAGAGGGAATTAAAAAAAAAAAAAGCCTGGGCTTTAATCACAACACTCTAGAGGCAGAGGCAGAGAGATGTCTGAGTAGGACAGCCTGTGGAACATACTGAGTTCTAGTCCAGCAAAGGCTACATAGTGAGATCCTGTCTTTAGAAAACAAACAAAAGTGGGGGTGGATGGGGGAGGGGCACACACCTTCAATCCAAGGACTCAGGAAGCAGAGGTAGGATCTCTGAGTTCAAGGCCAGCCTGGTCTACAGAGTTGAGTTTCAGGACAGCCAGGGCTACACAGAGAAACCCTGTGTCAACTACTATCCTCACCAAAAAAAAAAAAAAAAAAAAAAAAAAAAAAGGAAGAAAGGAAAAGAAAACAACTCTACAACAAAATAAATAAAACCCTTTCTCCTCTTGTACACTGGCTCTCATGTAGCCTAGACTGGCTCAAACTCAAACTCCCAAATGCTAGGATTACAGGAGTGCCCGCCCCACCCCACCATACCCAGCTATAAAAGACTCCCATCAAAAACATACGAAAGAGGCCAGTGAGATGGCGCCGCAGGTACAAGCTCTTGTCGTACAAGCTCCAGAACCTATGTAGGAAAGGAAACCATGTCAAAAAGCCAGGCGTGGCTCCTAGCTGTAATTCCTGGCCCCAGCACTCCAACAGCCAGATGGAAGGTGGGAATGGGGAATCAGCCAGACCTTCACAGATGCAACCAGTGGGAAAAATAATAAGAAACGGCCTCTAAAACACGGCAGAGGCCAGAAAAGCTGTCCTCTGACCAACACAAGCTCTCTGTATGCCCAAACTTTCACATTCACACACAAAACAAATAAAAATAAATCTCAAATATATATGAAGCCCTACACACCAATATGAAAGTCAATTACGTAGCAAACTGAGCAGAACTTGGAAACAGTCAAGACAGTCTTCAGTAGGCGAATGGGGAAAAAAATCAAAACACCAGCATCCGTACAAAAGACACATACTCGTGCTTTGAGACAGCCTGCTCTACAGCTCAGGCCTGTCTGGAAATCACTATTTCTGTAGCCTAGGTATGGCAGCCTCATACCTGAAGCAACCCATCAGCCTTTTCAGCATGCCAAATGCTTGAAAGTATAGACCTGAGCCATGGCCAGCACAAGAGTACTATTTAATGTTAAAAACAAATGCGCTACCGATCACAAGAAGATACTGAGGAACATCAAATAGACATAAACACTTATCTAAAAGGGCTTCGTAAAGCATGATTCCAACTACATGGCATTCTGGGAAAGGTAAAATCATAGTGGCCATAGGCTTTGGAGACTGGTGTAGGTACAGGTGCCAGAGAGGCGTGACCAGGAGCAGCAGAGGGGAATTTGTAGGATAATTAAGCCATTCTGCATGATATTCAAATGATGATACCTAACAATATGCATTTATCAAACCCATAGAATATGCAACACCAAGCGTGAACTCTAACTAAACTATAAAGCAATCTACCAATACTGGTTCACAATTCATTGTTTTTTTTTGTTGTTTTTTTTTTTTTAAAGACAGGGTCTTATGTAATACAGGTTGGCTGGCACTCCCTAACAAAAGATAACCCTAACCTCCTTACCTCAGGCCTCTACCGCCAAGCATGGGATTACAGACACATACCACTATGGCTGGCTTTGGTTCACTAATTTTTAAAAATCTACCACACTAAACCTGGTGTAGTGGTTCATGAATTCAATTCCAGAACTCAGGAGGCTGAGGCAGGAAGACTAAATCACTATAGTCTGAGGTCAGCCTGGGTTACGTGAGCTTATCTCAATATACAACAATAACAAGCAAATGTTGTATTGTTATACTATATACGGAGGAGTGGTGAAGAGGAGGCAATATAAAGAAGTTTGTATTTTACCCAATTTTTCTGAAAATCTGAAACTGTTCTAAAAAATAAAGGGTTAGGCAAGTATGGTAGTCTATCCTGTAATCCCACTGTTTTAGAGGGGACACAGAAAAAGGACCACAATTTTAACACAGGGATTTTGAGACCAGCCTGGGCTACATGAGACAAGAAAGAAGGAGAGGAAGGATTTCACACATATTGAGTAAAGAAAAGGCAAGAGAGGCTAGACTGTTACAGAAGAAGGTATCTTAAATGTACCTAACCACACAGACACATCCCAAGAGCTGAGGCCTGGCCCCCAAATGAAGAAACAAGAACAAATGTGACAGAAAGACAGCATGGAGGGGCAAGCTACAGTCAGAGAGAACCCTTTGTACGCCACCCCGGACAACGACTCCATCTCTCTAACTCAACTTTATCTAAAGGAGAAATAAAAATGTTTGTGAAACGGGCGTTGGTGGCGCACACCTTTAATCCCAGCACTCGAGAGGCAGAGGCAGGCGGATCTCTGTGAGTTCGAGGCCAACCTGGGCTACCAAGTGAGTTCCAGGAAAGGCGCAAAGCTACACAGAGAAACCCTGTCTGGAAAAAAAAAAAAAAAAAAAAAAAAAAATGTTTGTGAAAGTCAAATACCCTGCCCCAAGACCCTCCCATGGAAAGCATCTTCCTGTTACTGTTCTTAATCCATCAAGGATTTTAGTTGACCTAAAAAAAAAAAAAAAAAAAAAAAACTTTGTTTCTAACACAATCATCCAGATTTGGATACAGCACAGACTATTTTGATTACTGATTCTAATATCCTAAAATTAGGTAATTGGCCAAACAAAAGTTTACCTTTCCTGAAACAGATTCTCCGTCATAGAAGAGATAGTGTTTTTCGACTTTGCCATCTTCAGTTTTCATTTCTGCCATTTTTCTGGTCTCCCCATCATTAAGGGCAACATCGATCTCACAAATGGGACCAAAAAAGCCTCCAAGAAAACTCTAAAACAAAATTAAAATGCTCATTATTATCATGTTTAGCCAGTCACTACATTTTGAAATTCAAACTTAATTACTTCTATTTTAAAGTCAAGCAAATTACTAATCTATGAGTTAAAAAGTATTAAATTCTACATGAAAACCGAACAGAAGGGATCGCCTTAATTAAACGCACCTGCATCCAATCCCCAGCTCTGCCATCAAACCAAAGCAACGACCTGAACTGAGCACAGTGCGCACACAGTTAACACTGTATCTAATTCACAATTCGGAGAATAGACTTCATGTTATAATTTTTACCACCAAAATGAAAAAAGAACTTGAACGTGCTATAACGTCAATCATTTCCACAGGTAACCTACACAATAATCAAACACTAACTTATCAAAAGTATAGGAAGTCAATTTCTTACATGCAAGTGTAGACCCCTAAGAGACTTCCATCAGAGAAAACCTTGCACAGTCTAAAGTAACCCTCAAGCTCCAGTGTCAGCAGAGTGAACTAATTACCATAAAATCTCTGCCCTATCAGGTCTGGACAGAATGTGTTACAACACACAAGACGAGTAAAGCTGGCACTAACAAACATTCGAGACGAATGAAATTCCTAAAACATTTCCAAAGAAAACACAGAGGCACTGTAACGTCAGATAAGCGCTTCCCAATGACAAAGCTCTCCAGCTGGCAATGCAGCAGCCAACAATGAGCCGACATCTAGATACAGCCATGGACTGTGTGATCACTAACAACGACGACGACGTTCTAGTCTTTAAAATGTTAAGGGTGACAGCCTCCCATCACACCGGCCTATATCCTTTCTCATGTGTGCTTTCATGGGGTCCTTCTATGTTGCTCAATTTGGTCTCTACCCAGAAAGCTGGAGCAGTCCTCTTACCTCAGCCTTCAAGGTAGCTAGGTGCACAGGCACAACCCCCCAACACCAGTGCCTATCTATATGCCCCCTTTCTACTCTGTTCTGCACAAAAAAACCAGTGACCTTTTAAAAACATTCATCTAATCATGATGTTAAGTAAAGCAATCTCAAAAAGACAAATACTGCAAAATTCTCAAACAGAATCTCTATTTAACTACATGTATACACACACCACACACACACACACACACACACACACACATATATCACAAAAGCAGAGAGGAATTATTTGAGAGGAGGAAGAGACTAGCAAGGAAGGGAGGGAATGAAGACAAAGGAGAGTTAAGAAGGCCGCAAATATAAGCAAAGTACAATGATACCTAAGTATGAAGACGTCATAATGGGAGCTGGGGAGAGGACCTGAGTTCAGACCCCCGTACCCATGTGAGAAAAAAAAAAAAAAAAAAAGCTGACTGTGGGTGTGACTGCTTGTATCCATAGCACACAACTCAGAAATAAAAAGAAAATGTCATAATGAAATTCTAATAAAATAAAAACCAATCTGATCACAGCACTTCTTTTAAATATTGCAACAGGCTGGAAAGCTTATAAAGTGGAACTACATTAGAGAGCAGTTTGGGGCCAGAGAGAAGACTCATTGAGTGTATGTGCCTGGAACCATGCCTTATAACCTGAGTTTATTAGCTAGGATCTGTATGACAGAAGGAGAAAACCAATGCCCACACTATGTCCTCTGACTTCCACACATGCACTGTGGCATGTGCGTGCATAAGCACGCACACACAATAAATGACAGCAAGTATTTCTTCAATTAAAAAAACTGTACTTTGGCAGTTGGCCATGGTGATGAATACCTATAATCTCAGCACTTAGGAAGCAGAGGCAGGAGGCTTACAAAAGTTCAAGGCAGCCTAGCCTATGTAAGTGAGTTCCAGGACAGCCCAGGCTACAGAACAGGACCTGTCTAAAAACAGAGGTAAACAAACAGCAACAAAGAACCTACAAAGCTACAGAGGAGCTGAGTGCTAATGTATGTATTACATATAAGTAATATACATATTGTTTCTTTGAGGCAGGGTCTCATCACATAGCCCAGGCTGGCCTCAAAAATCACAGGGACCCACCTACCTCTGCCTCTTGAGCTCTGGCATTTAAGGGATGGGCCACTATGCCCAACCCAGGTGCTAATGTATCTGATAATATTGTATCTGAGCTCTTGATGTTCACTTGGTGGAGTTCATCAATTTGTACAATTTTTTCTCATTTATTGTGTATGAGTGAGTGTTTAGCATGCACATAAGTCTGTGCACCATGTGCATGCCTGGTGCCAGAAGAGCCCACAAGAAGGCATCAGATCCCCTGGGAATACAGTTAGACAGTTATGAGCCATCATGTGGGTGCTGGGACTTGAACTGGGTCCTCTGGAAGAGTAGCCAGTGCTCTTAACCACTGAGCCATTGCTTTGGTTCCATTATGTAAAATCTTTATAGGTAATGATGACTTCAAATATATTATTTTAAACACACATACACTATATTCTCTGATGTGGCTTAGATAGACCTACCAGCTCTCCAGATACAATAGCCTCAAATGCAGAAGTTCATCAAATTTGCCCCCTCCCCCTTGTCCTAGAGCCAGGCAAAGTACTACAGCCTGACTCACTCAGCCTTTGGTGGCTGACTCATCTCTGTAAGGGCTTTACCTGACACCCTAGTGAAAACTGGATTCTGCAAGTTTTGGTCTCCAGGCTGAGGAGCTTTATGACTCTGTGAGACCAGATATTTTCTCCTTTGTTCATCACTGAAAACAGAGCCTAAAAGCAGTTTATAGTATTTGAAACAAGGCCTCAAATACCTGGGGAGTGTTAATTTTCAATACACACACACCATTCTAATAACAGAAAATAAGTGACTACGGTCAAGAAAATGGAGTAAAATCTCTAATTGTTGGTGACCCAAACCCTTCCTCAGAAGGTAGCAAAGTCTAAGTCTGGAACTCATTAAGCATCAGCTCTGTCCTAGGGTTGACAGATAACGACAGTACACAATCTAAGGAGCCTCCTGAGATTATGTGGGTCACAGGTGACCCAATGACCAAACCGTTCTCTCCCTCTCTCTCTCTCTCTCTCTCTCTCTCTCTCTCTCTCTCTCTCTCTCTCTCTCTCTCATAAATACTTTTTTATTTATTTGTATCTTTTTTTTGTTTTTTTGTTTTGTTTTTTGTTTTTTGTTTTTGTTTTTTTTTCCAAGGCAGGGTTTCTCTGTGTAGCCCTAACTATCTGGAACTCCTTCTGTGGACCAGACCAGGTTGGCCTCCAACTCAGAGGTCCACCTGCTTCTGCCTCCTGAGTGCTGGGATTAAAGACCTGCAGCACCACTGCCCATTTTTATCTTCATTTTTATTGTATAGATGTTTTGCCTGTGGTTATGTCTGTATGTGTGCGCCCGTAGAGGTCTAAAGAAGGCATCAAATCCTCTGGAACAGGAGTCACAAGTGGCTGTGAGCCACTGTGTGAGTGCTAGGAATTGAACCCAGGTCATCTCTAAGAGAGCAGCCAGTTCTCTTAACTGCTGAGCCACCTCTCCAGCCCCAACAGAAGGGACAATTTCAAATAACTAACTACAAACTAGTACTTTTGACATGCTCCGAAGACACACAGTAATTTTCTTTCTGTGATGATAGTTTTTAACTTTTTTTTTTTTTAGCAACATTACAAACAAACTCAAAATTTAATCAGAAAGCTAACTTTAATAAGAAAACTTGTATTGCCAGGCGGTGGTGGTGCATGCCTTTAATCCCAGCACTCGGGAGGCAGAGCCAGGCGGATCTCTGTGAGTTCGAGGCCAGCCTGTTCTACAAAGTGAGTTCCAGGCAAGGCGCAAAGCTACACAGAGAAACCCTGTCTCGAAAAAAAAAAAAAAGAAAAGAAAAGAAAACTTGTATTAGTTAAATATTTAGAAGAGAAAATAGCAGGCAGATGATCTGCATGGTCCACTCCCAGCTGGTTTTTTGTTTGTTCGTTTGTTTGTTTGTTTTTGTTTTTGAAGACAGGGTTTCTCTGTGTAGTTTTGGTACCTGTCCTGGATTTCACTCTGTACATCAGGCTGGCCTCGAACTCACAGAGATCCACCTGCCTCTGCCTCCCGAGTGCTGGGATTAAAGGCCTGCATTACAACTGCCTGGCCCGTTTTGATTTCTTTCAGGCAGAGAAGACTGAACCCAGGGCCTGTGATTATTATGTTCCACCACTGAGCTTGACCATCCTCTTCTGATTCCTTTTCCTCCAGCCTGAGACTGGGTCTAAGCTGCCCAGGTTGGCTTAAACTTGAGATCTCTCTTGTCTCAATCCCAGGCAACATTCAACACCATGCCCGGTGTCCTAGTTACCTTTCTGACACCAAGTCTTGAAAGTCAAAACTTCTTTAAAAAGCAAAACAGTAAACAGTGCATTTGTCCCCAAAGACTTCTGTCTGTGCAGCTCAAATCTGATTGCCTGATAGTTAGCAATTATCCACTGCGTGCAAGTCAGGGAGGCAGCAAGGGAGGGAGTGGGGGCAGGAAGAAAAACTGACAAGGGGGAAGACAATCTACCCACGGAGCTGCCCATTTGAAACAGGGAAACTGCCGGGCGGTGGTGGCGCACGCCTTTAATCCCAGCACTCGGGAGGCAGAGGCAGGCGGATCTCTGTGAGTTCGAGGCCAGCCTGGTCTACAAAGCGAGTTCCAGGAAAGGCGCAAAGCTACACAGAGAAACCCTGTCTCGAAAAAAACAAAAAAAAAAAAAAAAAAAAGAAACAGGGAAACTGAGTCTGCCTTGTTAAAGCAAGGCAGCTGGTGGGAAAACAAGGTGGACTCCCCTTCCCACAGTGCCCCCATCAGCTCCTGTTACAAGACACAGGCAAGAAACGAAAATGATTCTCTCCCTAACTGTATACTCCCCAAAGCTCCTGAGAGGAAAGTAAGACTTGGAAGCCATGGAAGCTGTTTTACATATCAAATGAAATATGGCAACTTTCCCCCACATATATACTCTATGTAACAGGCAGAACGGCCTTCCCAATTTGAAAGCTGACATTTAAAGATGCAAATTAAGCACTATTTTAACAAAATTAAATTGCTCAGAAGATCCTTTTCAAAGCTTAGTACAGCATATGAAGAGGAGAAATGATGAGCAGCACTTTAACAAGGGAACCGCTCTCACTTTAAAAGCCTCCAATTATAGACATCTTCTACTGAACATTTTGACAACACAAGCAGAAAAACAACAACAAATCTGAGAAAAGAGCTTGTTTGCACCCAAAGACTTGGTTTGAACTGTTTTACTTCGAGATGTACACTGGGAGGTGGGAGGACCCCATAACCACCACTGCAGTGCAGCCCAAGCTAGCCAGGAACTTAGAGCAACTAACTCTCACCTCTACTTCCCGGCCTGCAAGCATGCGCCACCACGCCTGCCTCTCATTGATTTTTGTCTTACTTTTATTATTTATTTGTTTATTTATTGTGTTAAAGGGTGGCTCAAGCATGTCACAGCACATACGTGGAGGTCAGAGGACACTCTGCAAATTGATTCTCTCCTTCTACCACATGGGTTCTGGGGACTGAACTCGGATCATGTGGCTTATCATAACTAGACCCAACTTTTAAAATGTTTTAACTTGTTTTTCTGTAAGTGTATGAGTGCTTTGTAATGTATGTGCACCATGTGTATGCAGTTCCATTGGAAGCCAGAAGAGGGTGTCGGATCTCCCGAAACTGGAATTACATATAACTGTGAAGTGCCATGTAGGTGCTGAGATCCTGTGAGAGCAGTGAGTGCTCTTCCCCTCTGAGCATCTCTCCAGCTCCAGACACCAGCATCACATATTCAGCATCACATATTCATCTGTCCTTTTTTTTTTTTTTTTGGGGGGGGGGTGTCTTTGGCTATTGTGGTGGTTTGTTTTGTTGTTTGTTTTGTTTGCTTGGTTTCCTGGATCTCACTTGAAAGAAGCCAAACAAAGCACAAAGGATTTGAGACTTGAGGGCTGGAGAAACAGCTCAGTGGTGGATCTTTTCCCTAACTGGTGCAAAACCTTCAGTTGGCTCCTGAGAAACACACACACACACACACACACACACACACACACACACACACACAAAATCACTTCAGGAGAAATACTGTAAATTAATATAAAAGTTAAAACTCTTGGGTCTCAATGCCCTGCATATGGGCTAACAATACCTGTCATCTCAGCACTTGAAAGGTCGAGGCAAAAGAACTGCCACAAATTCAAGCCGCATTTGGGCTACACACACAGGAAATACCAGGCCAACAAGGTCGAAATAGCAAGGCCTTGCATTTAAAAAAGAAACCACATACACTCAAAAAAAGAAAAAGAAAAGAAACTGTTTCTTATAATTTAAAATCCCATTATTGAGCATTACCATCTAACAAAATCACACGTGGATACAGAAAAAAATTTAACAAAGTTTTTGGCCTCCATTTAAGAAAACTCACCAAGTCTGGTGGATGTAAAGAAACAGAACTTGAGGAAAAGGAAAAACATAATTAAATATATATATATGAAAAACTTTCATTAAGGGAAAAAGAAAGAAGAAATGGAGAGGGGAACCAAGGCTTCCACAATGTATTCACTGAGCCCACACACAATGAAACAGCAAATTCCCAGACATATATACATGTGTGGCCATTTCAAGGTTTTAAAGCTTTATAATTTCGTTTGTTTGGCCAATATTTTGAAAATAAAAATAAATTGCTCTTGAACACAACTAGAAGGACTAATTACAAATATAACCAAAAAGTTAAGAGAGCTGTTTATGCTCCTTTTCAAATTATAAACAATGAAAGAAAGGTTCCCTAACACCCAAATATTCCTTCTTACTTATTGCATTTGTAATTTCCACCTTAAACTAATTATCCGAACAAATCGTTAACTCACTCCTTAGTCTGAGCTGCAAGGGAGCGGACGGCGAGCCTTACAGTTTATCTGTCCCTGGGATCACCCAAAATAACGTGTTTAAGAAAAAGCTCCCAGAATGAACCTCCTCTTCCCCGTCCCCCCATCTCTAGTGAAAGCAACGTGATTTCTGACTTAAATTATTTAATCAAAGCAACGTTTTTTTTAAATAGACCCGGCTGGCTTGGTCTAAACTAAAAGTCCCAAGCAGTTTAGTGAAACTGGTGAGCTTGGGAGAGCAGGTGGCCCACTGAAGGCTCTCAGGGTGTACAGGCTAAATAACATAAGCCAAATGAGCTCCGATCTAAAGACGACTGTGGGCACAGTTAAACAGTACCGTGCCCAATGATGCTTCCCATTAAGTGTGGTTAAGTGCTCTGATTTTCCTCCCTCCCTGGCTCCCAAGACATTGCAACATCCCAAAGCGCTACGTTGTAGAAACCGCTGAGGGAAGGAAGTGAAACCAAGTGCTTAAATCGGCGTCTGGAGATAAATGAGGGTCCCCGCCGTTCCGACACCCTTTTCTCTTTCCCCTATCCTAGTCTACAAATGCCAAAAGCCTCCACCCGGGTCATGAAATCGCAGAAAGTCCCCAGATGCAGCTTAAAGAAAACAAGCGGACTTTATCGAGCTCGGGACGAGGGAGGAAGGTGAGCGGGTCTAGGCAGAGTCCGGAACTGAGGGTCTGGGCACGGGCTGTCCCCGGCTACCCTGGAAGGCGAGGCCGCGGGGCTCCGGCTGGGCGGGCTGCGGGTGCCCAGCCACGGCCCCCAAAACCGGTCGAGGAAGGCGGGCAGAGGCTCCGACATGGCCAGGACAGTGCGGCCGGCCGCAGGTGCTCAGGCCTGGCCCGGGACCGGGCAGCCGGTCAGGCCTCACCGCTCCGCGCCCCTTCCCTGCAGGCTCGGCGCCGCGCCCGCCGTTGGAGTCCCGCCGCGCGCACCGAGCCCCCGCAGGGGACGGCCGCGCACACCGCCGCGCACTCACCATTGTCGCCGCCGCCGCCGCCGCCGGGTCCCCCCACTTCACTTGGCTTTTCCTCCGGAGAACTCCCAGCCTGGCTGCCTGCGCCCCCGCCGCCCGTCACGTGACCGCAGGCCACCAGCCGCACGTGACCACTCCTTTTTTTTTCCACCCCTCCCTCCTCGCCTCGGGCCCCGCCCCCCACTGGAGGCCCCGCCCTCCGGGAAAAGGCCGTTTCGAGGCGGGGTTTCTTTGCCCCGCCCTTCGGGTGAGAGGCGTGGTCGCTGCGGGTGACGTCAGATGGGAGGGGTCGAAGAGCGGTCTCCCCCGTCCTGCTACCCTAGAGCTGTCTGTCACATGATGAGCAGTGCGCAGTGGAACTCCTCCCCCGGCACACCCATTTCCTCTCCCCTTAGAGAAGTTTGAGCGGCTGGGAAGGAAGTTGGGGTTTATGCGGGACGCGTGTCCTTGCAGGCTGGCTGCGTTTCCGACCTTCGCACCTTAATCTCACCTGAAGCGGTTTCCCGCCTCGCTCCCGAGAACTCTTGGCTTTTTCACCTCCAGAGAGACCAATAGGGAGAAAAACTAGTCTTAGAGCACATCCTTTGCCGTCCAGGGACGGCTCGCGGCCGTTCCCTCCAAGCCAGAGTAGCTGGGCTCACAAACGGGTTCCGCCCTCCTCCCCTCCGTAACAGCCCTTCCTAAAAGTTCCGGGAGAGTGCAAAACACGTCCCTACAACCACCGTGACCCAATCGCCGTTGTGGCGGCCTAGAAGATCTGAGGATGGATGGAATACTACGAAGGCTTCCGAGCTGAACCTTTACTCGAACTCGAGAGGGAAACTCTCCTCCCGTCCTAACAAAATTCAACGTGGCAAGCAGGTGTGCCAAGTCTGCAAGTCTAAAATGTTTAAAGGTTGATATGAGACCGTGGTCTCTAATCGCGACAGAATTCCAAAACTGGAAGTTTGGTGCTGCTACTGCTGCTGCTTCTCCTTTCTCCTTCCTCCTCCTCTTCCTCCTCTTCCTCCTCCTCCTCCTCCTTTTTCGACAGGGTCTCACGAGGTGTAGGCTGAACTCAAGTGGAGGAGGTCCTTAAATGTTTGGTCACGCCTCCACCTCCGATGTGCCTTCCCAATGCTGGGATTGCAGCAGTCTCGTGCGGGTTTTATGCTTTGCTGCAGATAAATCAATCCCTGGGCTTCCTGCATACATAGAGGGGGGATCTCTAGCCTAAAATTATAATATCTGAAAACAGGGCTGGAGAAATGGCTTAGAGGTTAAGAGTACTGATTGCTCTTCCAGAGGTCCTGAGTTCAATTCCCAGCAACCACATGGTGGCTCACAACCATCTGTAATAAGGTCTGGTGCTCTCTTCTGGTCATACATTCTGTATACATAATAAATAAATAAATAAATTAAAAAAAATAAAAAAAAAATATCTGAAAACAAGGTTTAAAGATTTCTGTACCAGGAAGCTTTGGATCAGATGGATGTTTGTGTATCTATTTATTGTTGAGACAGGGTTTCACTAGGTGGCCCAGGCTTGTCTGGAGCATTCTATGTAGCCCCGGCTGTCAAGAAACACACTCGTCCTACCTTCAGCCTCCTCAGTACTGGGGATTACCTGCCAGTGTTGCCACTGGCCAGATTTACAAAAAGGTTAAAAAAAAATAGTATGGAGACAGAGAAGGAGTATATAGCTCAACATTCTTTTGTTTAAAAACCTGTGATATCAAGCAGTGGTAACACACGGCTTTAATCCCAGCACTTGGGAGGCAGGGACAGGTGGATCCTGAGTTTGAGGCCAGCCTGGTCTACATAGTGAGTTCCAGGACAGCCAGGGCTACCTTGAGGGTCGGGGAGGTGGGGGGTGGGATGGGGACTGAGCACCAGATTGTTTGACAAAGGAGCATCAGCCACTCTGTAAGAGAGGGAAAGACAGCCAAAGCGGTTCATACCTGTGATCCAAGCATTCCGGAGGCAGAAGTAGAACTGTTGTGAGTTAAAAGGCCAGCAAAGACCTGCTGGGCTCCAGACCCTCTTACAAATGAACGAAAGAGAGAGCAACAATGGACGTAGTCTAAGATCTGACAGCTTAACTGTGTTCGCATGATTCTAGCCCCATTTGCTCAAAAAACTTGCCCCTCTAAGTTGCTTTGGTATGCTTGTCAGAAATCTATCCATTGGGGCTGGAAAGATGGCTCAGCTAAATGAAAAGCACTTGCTGGCTGCACTTCCAAGCGATGAGATTTGATTCCCAGCATCCAAACAGTGGCTCCAAACTGATGCCCTCTTCTGGCCTCCATGGGCACCACCAAAGCATGTTATGCACAGACATTCAGCAAAACATCCATATATATAGGGGTTGGGGATTTAGCTCAGTGGTAGAGCGCTTGCCTAGCAAGTGCAAGACCCTGGGTTCGATCCTCAGCTCAAAAAAAAAATCCATATATATATAAGGGTTTGGGTTTTTTGCTTTTTTAGAAAAAATCAATTGATTGTAGAATAAGGGTCTCTTTCTTCTAGACTTTCTATATCTATACACACCATCTCACTGTCTTGACTACTAAAATGTTAGCGTAATCTTGAATCAAGGAAGTATAAAAACAATATTGGGTCTTCCGTTCATGGACATGGTACATTTTCCTAATTTTTAGATCTTTTTTAGTGTCCTTCACCATTTTTTATAGTTCTCGGTCAAACACATCTTTTGTTAAACTTATCTCTAGGTACCCGTAGCTTCTACACTATTGTAAATGGGATTTAAATCGTTCCCTCTCCAGCTTGTCAATGTGATGTGCGTGACCGTCCTGTGTTGACTGTGTAGCCTGCAATCTTTCTAAATTTCTTTGGTGGTTTGCTCCAGTCCATTTTATTTTCTCCCCCACCCTCTCTGTACCTGGATTTCCTTTTCCCTTTGTGGAGCTGAGGATTGAACCCAGAACCTCATGTATCCCAATCCAGCACTCTACCCCTAGGCAACATCCCCAGCCCTCTTCCTGGAATTACTTGAACTCTAGATTGAGCCTCCTGAGTGGATTTTCACTTTGCTTCCTGTATTCCAACTATCTGTCTTTGGTTATTTATTTTCCTTTTTTTTTTTTTTTTTTTTTTTTTTGGACTGGGTTTCTCTGTGTAGCTTTGTGCCTTTCCTAAATCTTGCTCTGTAGACCAGGCTGGCCTCAAACTCACAAAGATCCGCCTGCCTCTGCCTCCCGAGTGCTGGGACTAAAGGTATGCGCTGCCACCGCCCGGCCTTATTTTCCTTGTCATGTTTTTATGCTCATTTATTGTGGGAGGCGTGCAGTCCAGAGCAGAACGTATAGATGTCCCTTCTGGGACTTGAACTCCCGTCTTCAGGTTGCTCAGCCAGCACGTTCATCAGATGTGCCATCTCACCAGCCCTTGTTTTTCTTCTTGTCCCGGAAATGGTCTTAGTACCCTTCTCAGGCTGACCTTGCCCTTGTGATCCTCCTGCCTCAGTCTCCTGAATGCAAAGATTATGTGGTGTACCACCGCGCTTGCTCAAGTTCTAATGCTGTTGATGACTCTTTCTCCTTCTGCTGCACAACGGTCTCCGGGTCTCCAGTGTCAGGCCTAGCTCCACGGGAGCCTTCTCTCCTAGTGTGTGGTCCATCCTCAGAGTCTATGAAAGCTGGTTTGTGTGGCCAACCGACTAAGATGGAAATAAAGTGGGGTGGCTGTCTCAAGTGCTGCTGCCTTGGTTTCCCCTGGGTCACGTATTTCTATAGAGGTCACTTCCCCTGTCATAGAGCCTCAGGCAGAGGTCATCTCCTAGCGCTTCTGAAAATGGCCATTAATTTGCCAACTCCCTGAGTATCCCAACATGGAAACTCTCCTCTTCATCCCTGATCAAGTCTTCAGATGACTCCAGACCTATTGAACATTCTGAGTGCAAATTTTTTTTAAGATTTATGTGCATTGGTGTTTTGCTGACATATGTCTGTGTGAGAGTATCAGATCCCCTGGAATTGGAGTTACAGACAGTTGTGAGCTGCCCTGTGGGTGCTGGGAATTGAACCCGGGTCCTCTGGAAGAGCAGCCAGTGCTCTTAAACACTGAGCCATCTCTCCAGCCCTGACTGCAATTTTGTAAAAGACCCTTCGAGTAGAATCTCAAAACAGTGGTGGCGCACGCCTTTAATCCCAGCACTGGGGAGGCAGAGCCAAGCAGATCTCTGTGAGTTCGAGGCCAGCCTGGGCTACCAAGTGAGTTCCAGGAAAGTCGCAAAGCTACACAGAGAAACCC